TGGGGTGGGGGGGGGGGGAGTGAGACGTGTGACATTGTTGCTTTAAGAAATGTGTGACTTTTGATACCTAAATTTTCAACACTATTTCTGTCCAAAAACATAGCTTTTCTAGTTATTTTAATTTTATGCATCTCTAGTGACCAAGATTTCCTATTCCTTTTTTTTATCCAGGGAGCCTAGAAAGGTCGTCCTGCATCGAGGATCAACAGGTCTTGGTTTCAACATTGTTGGAGGAGAAGATGGAGAAGGAATTTTCATCTCTTTCATTCTTGCAGGAGGGCCAGCTGACCTGAGTGGAGAACTTAGGAAAGGGGATCGTATAATTTCTGTAAGATTCCTTGCTTCTTTTACTTAAACAACAGCAAAAGTTTTCCCCTCCCTGGATAGTAATGCCAGTTAAGGATTTATATGCAAAGAATATAATTAACTGAGCTAAATTTGAAACAGTGAAACAGATGCCAATATACTTTGAAAGTATCTTTGAGGACTTTAGTCTGCCTTAGTTTCTCATCTGTAACCTGATTAAAATATCACTTTCCTATCTCAGAGATATTCAGTGAAGACATTAACTTAACTTGATCTGGTAGCTGAGGGAGGCGTGTGTCTAAATGGAAAGAATGCAGGCTTCAGAAATAAACCTTCTAATCAGATGGAGACATTTGGCAGTAGCATCTAAAATTGGGTGATTTGCTTCCTGCAGTAACTGCGAAACTCCCCATTAGTCTTAAATTGATGCATCTCATACCCTTCTAAGAGTTTTTTCTGTATTGGTAGTGAAGATCATAAAGATTTTGTGTGTTGCTTTGTGAAATGACTTAATTTACGGAGAATCATTTCTTTGGACAATTACATTGTAATTTGGTAGTTACTTAAGAGGAATTTTTTTCCTTTTAAATTTTGGCTCTGCTGATACTAAAATGCTGATATTGAAGTGCACCTTTATTTTAGTTTAAACAATGAAAAATGCTTTTGGTCTAAAATGTGACACACGTTTCTGCTTCAGTTTTTTACTGATGCTATTTTTAAATCTGCTGCATTGAAAACAAGGCTAGACCCATGGAGGGTGTGGTCCGTCACTGGATATTAAACATAGTGGTCTGCAGGTATGTTTTGGTGAAGGAGATTCCTGAAGCCCTGTTGTAGAAAGGTGAAGTGAACCATCACAGAAAGTAACGTTCTCCATGTCTCCTTAGAAAGAAAGAAAAAGATCTTAAGAAGAAAAGTAACCTAGTGAATACAAATTCATTAAGTGTTATACTATGATGATTACAGTATTTCTTAACAGAGGGGTATATTGACTTTGGATTTCAGTAAGGATCAGTAACCTTTGTATTAACTAACTTGTAGTAATGGAAATAGGGAAAACTCATGTGGCATGGAAACTAGTTGGTGTCCAGTTAACTTTTTTTTCATGAGTCTGTGTTCTATGATGATAAACACAAACTTTTGTTTTGATAAAGAGCTTTTTTTTTTTGTATTACTTGTAGGTAAATGGAGTAGATCTAAAAGCAGCAACCCATGAACAGGCAGCAGCAGCCCTGAAGAACGCTGGCCAAGCAGTAACTATTGTAGCTCAGTACCGTCCAGAAGGTAAGGGTTGCCTTATACATTCAGGTTCACTTCTACAATTTGAAACTCGGAGAAAGATAATCTACAGTGTCCTTCCACCCCACCCTGCCTAACCTCTGTTTTGAGGAAAGGAGAAGCAAACAATGCAATAGATGTTGCCACATACCTGTTAGCATAATTGCAAGTGACCAGATAGGAATATTGCAATTGTTGGTGCATGGCTTGATGTGTTTCTTGCTCTGATCATGTTCATTATTTTGAATTCTTCAGTAAATGTTAACACTGACATAACATGAAAATTAAGCAGGTAAATCCAGAACTTAGTAGAAATGCCACATTGTTACTTTTGTATTTCACAATTGTCTGCACTCTTTAATATGGTGGTTTTATTTTCCTTAATGATAGGAGAATAAAAGACTAATTCCTTCTCTATTGTGTTGATTCAGATGACCTAAAGAGACCATCAGGTTTTCATTCCTCTGTTTCATACTGAGCTGGTATTTCTGTTTATCCAGCAGTTTCTTCTGGTTCAGATTAGACTGCAGCTGATGCTGATTAACCATCCTTGTGTGTTCTGCAGAAGCCAAAGACATCTACATCATCACAATACACATATTTGTCCTCTTGTGTTTCTATAGCACATTGCAAATGCCTTTGTCTATTTGAGACTTAAAAATTTCAATAGTCTAAAATTATATGCTTACCTTGAGTCTGTAAACCCATAGATTATTGTTTTTATATATAATAAGACATTTTTGTGACCTGTGATGATCAACAGCTTTCTCCAATTTTGCTAAATTGGATGGCCCATCGCTAAATTTTCCTTGCAGTGACTTGTCTGCTTAAACCTTTCTTTTAACAGTACTGACAGAGGGGTAAGTGTGGGTGTTTATCAGGACTGGACGTTGAGGAGGACTGCTGCCTTCATCTGAAATTGTTAGGTAGCTGATTGCAGCATGCTTTTCTTCATTCTATTTCTTCTCTTCTGTCATGTTTCTTTTATCCTGTCCTCCCCAATTCTTTGAAGTATTAGCTTTCACATTCTCCTCCCGCATCAACATCATGTATCTACACTGACCCAGGAACTCTGTCAGTAGTAAGACCAACTGATTTGTTTGTGTCTGGTTCGTGGTCAAACTCCTGCAGGCAGCCCATGTTGTCAATGCCTGTATTGTCTTGAGAGGGTGTGCATCCTGTTCACATGTTGAATCTGTAGATTGCTCTGTTCCAGGATTCGTTTTCTAGGACTGCTCACTCTGAGACTTCTTTTCAGAAAGAATAGTACGGTCAGCAATGGTTCTGGTATATTTGATTTGGCTTTGTCAGAATTGTCAGATACTTCTGTTGATACACATTTGGCCTATCCTCTGCTTAGCTCTTCAGTGTTGTAGCAGATGAGTCAAGTTGTTACACTTCCTTCCTCCTTGTATAGGGAGCACCTTAGTGAGAAGTAAAACTTGTGCTTTTATTTGCCCATGAGTTGTCCTTTTGAGCATCTGACCACTTTTTTGTTGAAAGAGGGCATTCTTGGTCACTCTTTCTTCTGCCAGGAAGATACATTGAGATGTGGCTGCTAGTAGCAGAGCAAATGTTTCTCTGGTAGAATATATCCCAGGACACAAGCACTTTTTTTTTTTTTCCTTGCCAAAAAAGGTACCCAGACTTCATGCAAAAGCAGCAGTTTTTCAGTCCTCTCTTTTGGGGATTCAGGCTTTAAAAAGAAAAGAATCCCTTCATACTCTGAAAGTCAAAACTTTTCCTTTTATAATAAGAGAACTAAGCTTTTTGGATGGTTCCTGCTCTTTCTACATTGGAAATAACAACTTTCTTCATTACCGCTTGCCCAAGTAGAGAACTTACTTTGTTGAAACGTGTATTGAGGTGCTTAACTGACTGATGGGAATTTGAGTCATTGCAGAGATTTGCCCAGAGCAACATAGACTGCCTCTTAGAAATTTCTCAATGACTGTCACTGGTAGACGTCAAGCCTAGGCCTGTACTCATTCCTTCATGATTACTGAAGCATTCAGAACAAGACTGTATGCAGTTGAGCTGTGTTGAGAATGCAGTTCTCAAAATTGTAGGGCCCATTTGAGAGGAGGCATGTGGGAGATGTTACTTGAATGATCCTAGATTATGGGCAGACATCTGACACCTTAATCAAAGAAAGGAATTTTTTTTTTTTTTTAAGATGTTTGGTCTGCATGACTCTCTGTGAAATGCCTAAAATCTCCGTTCGGAGTGAAGATGTTGAAAGCATGTTATGGCTTACTCTACCCTTTTGAAGTATGCCATGAAGGAAAAGTGTAATTGGGAGATTGAGATCCATTGTAGTTTGGAGGCAAAGTATGAATTGACACATGGTTAACCTATCTCAGAGAGCTCTAGTTACTAATTTCTGACTCTGTCATCTCTGCTTGCCTTTTTCTTAATCCTCATAAAAAGAAGTTGAATGGTGCTCCAGCTGTCAGCTTCTTTCAGATCTGGTGTGGGAGGTAGGTTGGATCAGATACTCACTGTTCGTATCTTAGAGATCAGTAAAGAGTCTATTTCCTTAAAGGTTACTGTTTGTTTATTATCGTAGACAAGCAGTCTATTTGAGATTTGACTTTCCAAATAGAAAATATCATCCCTGTGATTGAGTGTACTTGATAAAAGTGCATATGTTCTTTGATCATTTTCGTGTTTCCTAAATTATAGCTGTGGATGGTTGTCTTTCCCCATCACTTGATTCATTTAAGTTGGGAAATTTTTTTTATATATATATACACATGTATGTATGTGTAATTATCTCCACTTTTTGTTTATGCTGTTCAAAAAAAGGTTAAGTATTAAAATGAAGAGTTCCTAAAATCATTGTTCATCATTGATGTTTCTCAAATGTCTTTGTAAAGATGAAGAGCATCAGCTATAACTGCTTGTACTGCATACACATTTTATTTATATTTATAAATCCAGCAGGATTTTGTAAAAGATGCTGACAGCTAGGACAGATCAAGGAGATTCTAGACATCCATCAGGGTTCATTATAACCGAGTAAATAGATTCAATATGATAGGAGCATTTGGAAGACACTTGGGACCAGCTCACTTCACTCCCTGTAATTGTATGTGACAGTTTGTACGTTCATAGATGTGGTGGGGAATGCTAATTTATGTTTTTACATCCTACCACATTAGCTCTGTCAGAAGTTCCACATTTGTCTTTTTCCTCAGATTTTTGGGAAAACAGCATTTTTGCAAGCAGTTCTCCTGTAGAAAAGCCCGAGTAGGCTCTAGAAAAGTTAATCTTTGGAAAACTCCTATGATGGAAAGGGTTGAATTTTCCATATCTGTCTCTTCAAATCCGTGGTTTATCAAACACTACTTACTGGACTTGGGTTGGGCTAATGCGGCTGAATGATACTGCTTTTATTATATCGGGCTCAAATTGCACAACTACTGAGGTTTTTTCCCTTAAATCTCAAAAATGTTCTTTGGTTATAGAATCATGTGAAGACAGATGCAGTCTGATATATCCTGCCAGGCATTCATTTAGTTTTCAGCAGTTTTCAGTAAATTTGAGAGATGCCTTACAAAATTTTCATGCTATACTGAATCAAATTTCAGCAACTTACCAGCACTCTTTGGGATAGCTAAAAGCCAAATAGGGAATGTGAAGGTATTCTCCTCTTTACAAAAGTGACTTAAGCATCAGGCACCACTTCTGTAGTACCACCACAAGTGTAGTCAATTGATTTATGCTTTCTCCTTGTAGATTCAATGCTTTATCTTGCAGCTTACCTAGGAGCTACTTTTGTAAACTGTTACTGGGTTGTACTTGTACGTACTTCCGTGGTACCAACATGCGTGTGTGTGTGTACAAAATCTCCCTAGTTGCGGAGATCAGTGGATTTGAACCTGCTGGGGCTGGATGCTGCAGAGGAGGGATCTGCGGTAGGAGAAAAGCAAAAATTTGGGAAATGCGAATTACCCTGTAGAGGTGTGGTGGGGAAGTCAGGGTGTTGGTTTCATTTTCTTCTTTGTTTGGAAGCTTTTCTTTATTCCCATACTTGTACTACAAGTTTCTATCTCCTTTCAAGATACTATTCGTGAATAAAAAGGTATTTGACTTTACCATGAGTTCCACTGGAGATCAACTACTGTGACCTGCAACAGTTTCAAAGAAAGTGGTGTTGCTGCAGTACACAGAAGCATTGTGATGAGCCATTTTCATTTGTAGAGGTCTCTGAGCCATTTCATTTTCCTGTTGCTCCCTGACTCTGCAGAGACACCTCAGTGCCATGCTACTGTCTCCCTTCTTTGGGTTTTCTACAATGGTAGGATGGCAAGAAAAAATCGTGATATTGGTGTGGAAGAATGAGAGGAAGCTCTAGGCAATTTGGATATATATGTACCTCCTTGGAGTGGGGATTCAGAGATGGTCAGAATCATGATTATGCTATGTAGCAGGGATACAGGAACATGAGAGTCTCAGTGCTTGAAGGGAATGTAGTGAGGAAAGGAGCAGCAAGGGGGAAGTATAGGACTGTCCAGAGGTGTACAGCCCTTGGAGAGCTCTCCCCTCATTTCACATTGACATTTCCATTGTTATGTCCATTCAAATTAAAAGGTCATCTGAAACCTCAAAACATCATACTTGTTTTGAGGGTGGCATAATAATAGTGTTACCTCAAAATTCGGAATTTCTGGAAGGTTAGATTTTGCCATTCTGAAAAGGTATGAGGTGCCAGTAGGCTACCATAACTGTATTATAGCTTGAGTGCATTGAGGTGTTTGAAAGTAAGAAAAATAGCCAAAGAAATACATTAAAAATATGAAAATATATTTGGTTGAAATTGGATGGAAAATAATTTTGTGGATGAAACATTTTTTTGATAGTTACATTCTACTGGATGAGAACTGAGCAATTAAGTATATGTGTAACGTTTACTCTAATTACATACACATTAACTGTGAAGCTTGCTTTTGGAGGGCCTTGAAAAGGCAAGCAGGCAAAGAATATTGGCATCAGCAGTCATT